CGTCGGGTTCGGCTGGGAAAGTGCAGCGGTGTTTCCACGACTAATTTTGGCGAGATTCGAAGTTAAGGTTCCTCAGAACCGAACAAAGCTGTCCGAGCGCCGACCAAACCCAGTTAAAAGTGCCCGGCTGCAGAAGGGCTGAACGCGCAGGAAATACAGAGTACGAGGAAGTAACCCAAGCAAGTTACGAAAGTGTAACTTATTTTATTACAAAACTTTATGTAAACCATAAACACAACCGTCAAAAACAAAACAGAACGAAGACAGCGTATAAAACATTTCCAATGAAAATTGCCAAACCCCGTATCTGCTTGCGTTTCGCAGCGAGCAGCTGGGCCTGTGCGGGTCGGACGGGCGATCTGACGCGGGACGGCGGGTGTTCTAACAGGTCGGGTGATGGTCGGTGTTCTAACGGGTCGGGTGATGGTCGGTGTTCTAACAGGTCGGGTGATGGTCGGTGTTCTAACAGGTCGGGTGATGGTCGGTGGTCTAACAGGTCGCGGAACGGCCGGTGCTCTAACAGGTCGGGTGATGGTCGGTGTTCTAACGGGTCGGGTGATGGTCGGTGGTCTAACAGGTCGCGGGACGGCCGGTGCTCTAACAGGTCGGGTGATGGTCGGTGGTCTAACAGGTCGCGGGACGGTCGGTGCCCTAACAGGTGGCGCCGCCCGCCTTCTTCCCCCCACCGCACCCGGCCTGGGAGCTCTGGGGGTGTCCGCNGTCTAACAGGTGGCGCCGCCCGCCTTCTTCCCCCCACCGCACCCGGCCTGGGAGCTCTGGGCGTGTCCGCCCGCAGAGCGACTCCCTCNGAGCTCTGGGGGTGTCCGCCCGCAGAGCGACTCCCTCAGGTGACCCAGCCCCGGGAGGACGGGACAAGGGCGCCTTTTACAACTGCACCTGTAAGAAACCACTAAAGATTCTTCCACGAATCTGTGTGTTCTTCAGAGCCTCCCTACAGAGAGTCCCCTGCACACACAGTTTCCACACACACGCAAGGAGACGGGAAAAAGTTTCATCATCATGTGGAGAGTTTCAGTTTCTTTTTCTTGGCCTTCAGTACGGGGGGCAGAGAGATCTTAAAGGCCGTCCTGGAACGACACGGAGAACACCCGTTAGCGATGGGACAGCCCAAGGCGCGGCCCTGCACACCACCTCAAAGATACTTACTCGCAGGTGGTGCAGATGGGACTGAAGTTGCAGAAGACTGTAAATAAAATTAAAATAAAAATAACAGAAAATAGGAAGGTTTAAAACCATACAGCTGAGAGATTTTCTGACCTCCCCCCAACATGGAAAAAAAGAAAAATTTAGTCCCATGAACGTACTGGACAAGCACACAGAACAGACATAGCCAATTTCAATGAGGTTCCTGTGGCAGAAGCACGCAGCCCGGTAGTCGACGTGAATGGGGGGCGGGAGAGTTAACTGAGACCTCTGATCCTGATCAGGGAGAAAAACCCACTGGAAAAAAAAAAAGTGTTTTCATTCACTCAGCAATTACTGAGCACCTCCGCATACAGGCACTGCTCTGGAATCGTTCGTACGACACTCTGCATACATACAGTGTGCAGGGTTCAAAGACTACCCGAAGCCCACCCGTTCCTTCCTTTCCCCCAATGACTAGCACCTGCCACCCTGCTCCCAGTCATTCCCCAGGAAACGGTCTCACTGACTCAAGGTGTCAGGTACACAGCCGAGGTTCCTTACCAGGAGATACTGCAGGAGGGAGAGCATCTGAGGCACCTTCAGGTACAGTCCCCCTGTGATATCACAAGCCTGCAAGACACACAAGGGCACTCTGCCACACTAGCACTTGCTCAGCTTTTCCAGAAGGACACAATTCCCACCAGCAATTCCTCGTGTCTCCAAAAGGAGACGCAGAGATGCCACAGCGAATGAAAGGGAGTGCTCGCACTGCGTGAGGGCCAGAAACTCCCGCCTACCTTTCAGGATGTGCACACAGCTTATTTTCCCCCTTAGCTCACAGCCTTCCACCCTCTGGAGACCACAGCGTAGGACAGCATGTGCCCCGTTTTCTGTTTGTGTGCTACCAAGAATATTTATTCTAAAAGTGTGTGAAGATCGGCGAAAGGTATTTAACAACAGGTAACAGAACATACCCCCCGCTTTCACAACCACCAACACCAAGCATTCATTTAAAACCTACCTGTTGGAGGAGTCCTGAATCGGAGTCCAAAACACAGGCATCGATCAAAATATTCTGAAATGAGTATTCCAAAGATATTACGGGAATGGTAACAATGACCACCTTACACTGAGACTCTGCTATGTGCCAAGCTCTACTCTGAAAATGGCTTGCTTAATTAGCATAATAACTGCACAAAGTAGGTATCTCATTAGCATTTTCCAGCCCAGGCCTTGGCCAGCTGTGGTCATGGAGGCCAGTGGAGGCAGGGCCATCAATCCCAGTTCGCCTGTCCCCAAGGCCCACAGTCTTTTCGCTACACCACAGGGGCCTCCAAGATGAAGACTATTATTATACACGTCTATAGTATTTCAGGTTCCAACTGAAGTTTTAAGTTTTCTTCTCATTTTTTGAACATGTCAAAGAAGAAAATGTATTAGTGACAATTCATCATGGTGTGCAGCAAGCCGTAGAACCAGGGATTCTTAGCCTGGGATCCAGGATGGGCTCAACGGGGTTCCACAAATACCCTAAAACTATTAAAAACTGTCTGCATATTTTTCTGGGGGCTCATCAGATTCTCAAGGGGTCCAGGGCTCAAGTAACTATAAGAAACATAGATGCCTGATTCCTAATCCATTCATGAGGCTATTTAGTCAGAAAACCTCCCTACGTAGGTCATTCAAAAAAAAAAAAGAAATTAGTTCCTTTGTTATGAAACAAACATCCTTGAAAAAGAAGGGTGTCCACTCACCTGCTTCTGTGCTGCGAAGATGACATTCATGAAATTCATATACTGCAGCGCACTGTCCTCTGCTGCCTTTATTACCTAAAACCACATCCTTGTTAACACCCTGCAGGCACATCCAAGGACTCCCACTTGGATGCCAGGATATACTGCCAACTGCAACCAGTGTTATTTTTCTCATTTGTCTACCTAGTTGTCATCGTTAAATAATACCTACCACAGTGTCGACTGGGAAAATGTCCCCCAAATCCTACCCCTCAAGAGATAACCCTTAACAGTTTCTAGCGAGCAGCTACGTGGGCACGTACACACGCTCACACCCACCACACACACACACTATAGGACACGCTCTCTCTAATGTTCCCCAACCTGCTTGTCTGGACGTATCTCATCCTCCGTGCTGACTTCACATATTCCCACTATTTACCCAGTTATCTATAGGGGGCATTTAGCAGTTCACAAGACTCGGTCTTAGACGATGCTCTGATGAACACCCTCATACGCCCTTCACACGACGCTAGCATCTGAGACCGCATGTTTCATCCCAACACGACAGATTACCCAGCTGCCCTATTCTAGCCTCCCATCAGAGACTCGGGAGACAGGCCAGCCCCCAACGCTGCCATCAACCCTGGGAACTGCCAGGTTTTTCATCTGTGTGGCACAAGAAGCAAACATATAAACACAGCAGTGATTCTACGAAAACCTTACCAATATCCTTGACTTCATTTCCTGATGATCTATAAAGAGATAAAAGCAGGTTGCAATTTAACTGAATCTTACTGAACATATTATAAGGTTTTCTAACCGACTTTACACAGCCCACCAAGTTACAGTAGTAAAACAAGGGTTGGTCTCATAGAAAGACATAGGCTCCTACCTCTAACTTCCTTGTTCATTCGGTGAATGTCTTATGTTTTTTTGGCATTAAGGAATTAAAAAACATTAGTTAATTTCACAAATATTCATAGTAAACAAAAAATAACCTCAAATTTTAGTTAAATAAACCCAGCAGCCACATAGGTGAAAAAAAGAATTGTTCCATTTACCATGATAAACACACAAAACAAGAGGGACTGGGAGTTTCCAATGACCCATCAACTGGGCCTTATGACCTGACTGAAGTGTCTCTGTCCCAGAAAATGGAAATGCCCACCATCGGACTGCTCTGTGACCACCCACCACACCCTAGATTTGAACACTGGGACCACAGTGAACCAGTAAGTCAATCAAATAAGCTCTCGAACTTGAAGACCACACATGGATGGTCAGACACCACCCCACCCCCCAGTCTCAATTGGAGGAATCACTCAATACTGTCCAAAACAAATTAAATCTCAAGAGACTGGGAGAACATCACATAGACAGACAAGATCGAAATGCTTAGAAAGGGGTTGTGGACTTCATGTTAAACTCAAAGTAACCTGCTGGCCTGTGGAGCAACAGCTGCTCGCTTATTAAGCATCAGGGTCAGTAAACGGCTTTTACAATCAAACACTGCTCTCAAGGGAGATGGGGGGAAAAGCCACCCCAACTCCCCAGTCTGCCTAAGTAAGAAACAAAAAAGTGTCCTGAAGAGTTGTAAGCGGAAGGACACGCTGGAGAAACTAGTTTTCCTACCCTTCCCATTCAAGTTTCTACAGCTTGTCTTATAAACATGGCAAAGCCAGTTGGAATAAATACGTGGCCTTGTTTACATGGATGCAGGTCCTAGGAAATATCACAAGATACGTTTATCCCAGAAGACACCTCTGAATGATTGAAACAGCAAGGATACAGCACAGAGCTTTGGCGAGCGATCCTGCCAGCAGAGTTTCCGTGTGCTGACCCTTTAGGTCACCTATAAATGAAAATAAAAAGCATTATGAAGGGAATTTCTTGGCATTTTCTTGAACTAAAATCACTTTCAAACCAAAGCATTCTTCCTCATGAATGAAGTAACGTTTTCAAACTGGGTTTAAAAGCAGCGATCTGTTCTCAGTCATGCTTAAACGAACAGTTTTTAACACATTTTCTCAATTTAAAATACCCTGGTGGTCAGGGTCTGGGGAGGAGACTGGAGATTGTTTAATGGGTGAGCTGCAGTTTAGGAAGCTGAGAAAGTTTTGGGGGTGGACGATGGTGACAGCTGCACAACGTGAATGTACTCACTGCCCCCGCGCTGTACACTTTAATATCCACATAAACAAGAAGAGTGGGGGAGAATGTACAGAGGAAGAAAAAAACACCATGCAAAATAAAAAATATGTATTTTAAGGGGCAAAGATGAAGGAAAAGTCAGAAAGAGAAGAATGAATGGTCTGAAAAAGAGGAAAACCAGATCAACAGGATAGTCGTAGAGCCCAAAGAGTGTGTCTCAAGTAGGGGCTGGGCAGCGGGCAGGTAAACCGTGCGCAGACTCAGGTGAAAACGATTTCAGAAAGGAAAGAGAGAAGCAAGTAGATCACATCTAGAACCTCCGGTCCTGCAGGAACCCCACGTTCAACTCCATCTGCAAAATAACAAGGAGGGAAAAGCTCATACCCTTAGCCATCAGATCCTTAATCTCCTCCACAAGAACTTCGTTTGCGGCTGTCAACAGCTCGTACTTTCCGTCCTTACTCCCCGAGGGATTGAGTTCAGCGGGAGTGTTACCAGGGTCCCCGAAGAAGTCTCCAAGTCTGCCATTCCTCCCAGGATACAGGAAGCGGCTGCAACAGCAGGAAGAGGCCTCGTTACACCAGGACTCGGTGCCCTCGCTAGGCATCAGGATGAAGTTCAGCAGAGAAAACAGACTAAAGCCACATTAACTCTGGACCCACAAGATTCTGTAATAAATTTCATTTTGTTAAAAAAGTATAGCCCAGCCAGTGTGGCTAAGTGGTTGAGCATCGACCCATGCACCAGGAGGTCACCGGTTCAATTCCTGGTCAGGGCACATGTCCAGGGCTGGAGGCTTGATCCCCAGCAGGGCACGTGCAGGAGGCTGCCGATCAATGACAATCTCATCACTGATGTTTCTCTCTCTCTCCCTCCCTCCTTCCCTCCCTCCGCCCTCCCTCTCTACCTCTCTCTTCCTCTCTCTGAAATCAATAAAGACATATTTAAAATAAATAAATAAAATAAAATTTTTAAAAGACAGACGAGAGCTGTACCTTACATGGGGATTAGATTCTACAGTCCATGTGTAACATGACAAGTGAATATAGTCAAAGTTACTCATAGAAATCTCTGCTGTACACATGGCCACATCTGCACACCAGCTACATATCTATTCACCACCCTTCAATAACTGACACAGCTGGGTTTCACACCAATGTTAGAAAAGGTCACTGTGTCTTCAGCCCAGCGCCAGATGGAGAACCTGGGTTGGGTCACAGAGCCAATTGGTAAGAAAAATCCTTACTTATAAACAGTGGAATCACATCCAGAGCAGTGAAATATTCACACGAGAGGTGCACAGGAGCCCAAGTGGGCTGAAGGGAAAGCAGAATCCCACCTCCCTCACCTGCCCCCTGGGGCAGACCCATGAGTAGAGCAACACACAGTAGGAGCAGGACATGTGAACTGGTACACAAAGCTCACGAATGCTAAGCGTCACATAGGTAATCCTGATGGTCCTACCTTTCCTGAATGTGACTCGCTATCACAGCCAGTTTGTTGGAACGATTCATGAACAAGTGAGAATTCCCCAGCACCATCACTGCGTCTATGCATTTTGATAAAGTAAACTATTGAGAAGAGAAGATGTTAGAGAAGTAAATTACCTATGCAAACACCTACGTCAGCTCTTGCAATAACTAAGGTTTCCTTAAAAATACTTCAGGCACAAAAATAAAATGCTAATTTCACTTTCTTTTAAAAAAGTAAAACAAACCTATTAAAATTTCTAGATGGCAAAAAAAAAACTGTGAGCAAAAGTGAAAGACAAATGACAAACTAGGAAAAAATAATTGACAGGCAACAGGTTAACCTTTTAATATAGAGTGTCCACAAATCATTTAAAAAAAAAAAAAAAAGGGACAGCTAAAGAGAAAAATGGGCAATGCCCCACTCACGGGAGAAATACAAATGGGCCATCAAATATACAAAAAGCAAACTGAGGTAACTTTTTTTGATACGTCATATTGGCAAGAGATAAAATAAGTAAAGAAAGCATCTTGCATTGGTTCACACGTGAAAAAAGGTATTCTTGTATACCGCTGATGAGAGTTCAAAACAAGATACTTTTTCTGAAGAGCACTAAGGTAACATGCAGGGATGCGCCAGAACATCCACACAGTGGAATACTACGCAGCAATAAAAAGGAGCTGACCTACTGGGACATGTAACAGCATGGACAAGACTCAAAATCGTTATGCTGAACAAAGAAATCAGACCAAAAATTCCTACAGTTCATACTGCTTGATTCTACTTTTATAAAAATCTAGAAAATGCAAACTAATCAAGGAACAGAAAGCAGATCAGTGGCTGCCTCCAGCTAGGGGGTAAAAGCTGTGAGTGACTGTGAACAGGCATGAGGAGACCTTCTGGGGTGACAGAACTGTGGTCATGGTTACACAACTTTATTGTGGGTTTTACTAAAAAAAAAAATCACTGAACTGTATGTTAAAATGGATAAATAAACATATACTCGGTTACACCAGAATGACCCAAAGGCCCCCTTGAAGCAGCCTCACCTGGGATTCCTTTAGTGCTTGCTTCCCCCACCAAATCGGGTTGGTATCAACTATGATAACTAGAAGATTCAACTCATCTTCTGAAAATAGTAACAGAAATAAAAAAGATGAGCCTCATGCACGTGAATCAAAGCTGACATTCTACATGCCTTTACACGTTTGCCATCTGACAATCTGGAGATTAACAGAAGGCCGAGTTCTTTTACACATCTAAAGCTCTGTGGGTCCTCAGCAAGCTCTCTCGCACCTGCTTTAAGCACTGCTGCACCTTTCCCCACTAGAAACGTAAGCTCCATGAGGGGGAATTTTTGCCTGTTTTGTCACTGCTTATCCTCTGCTCCTAGCACACTGCCTAACACAGAGGATGCGTAATAAACATCCATTAAATGAATCTGAAGATGTTGCATTTTAAATGCCTGGTCAGTGGTAGAAGGCACCGATTAACTAGCGGTAAGAACCACCAGTAGTAAAACCTTGGGTGAGGGGTTGGTGCGGTTTAAAGGGAGGAATCTGGAATCCATCTGGCCCTGACTACTTCAAGTCACCTGGCAGCAAGGCCCGTTGTGATCAGGAACGTTTTTAAAAGGTGAAAATCAATTTCTATGTAAAAAATATTTTACTGGGCAAGAAACTAGGCTACTCTCCAAACTCAGAGTAGCCTAACTTAACACATTAACTCACTCGACAAACATTCACACTACGTACCAGGGTGGGGTATTGAGAATAGTGTCTGAGCCCCCAAGGAGCCGACACCCTAACTGAGGTGACACAGGAACTTGTAAGCACCTGCTGTTATGATAAACCCAGGACGCTCATTTAATAACAAAAAGCAATAATGTCTTCCCTGCCCCATTCCTTCCTTCCTGCAGTTCAGTCTCCTATTACCGGGACACTCCTCACCCCACCTTTGTTTCCTGCTTACATATCCAAATCTTATCTACTCTTTGGGGCCCAAATCCAGCGCCGCCTCTTCCTTCCAAAGTCCCTTCCTATTGCAATCTTTCATCAGTTACTTTTATTTATTTTTTTAACATGTAACAGTTGCTGAAATCAGGCGGTATCTTGCGATGAAGCTGGGCGTGGGCGGCACCCTTCCCTCGGCAGCGTATGACATAAAAGCACGTTTCATAATCAATATCGTTTCGGATCAGATGAAACAGGGTATTCCCATGTTTGCAAGTGAGAGTAACTTGCTTTAGGTCGCTCGGCCCGCTGACCACCCGCAGGGCCGGCCCCGCTCCCCGAACACGCGGCTCCACTCCGTGGGCTGGGTCCCGCGCCTCCTCCCGCCCCTGCGCACCGGGCGTGGACTCCGCGCAGGAGGCGGCTTCTGCCCCGGCCCGTGTGGC